TTCGTTGAAGTACGTTGCGCGTTTCGAATTCCCCCCAACACTAAACCCCAAGCCTCAAGCCATGAAACTCCAATGCTCTCACCAAACCCTGAGACCAAAACCCGCAACCCTCAACCCTAAACCCGAAATTTCGCACCCCAAAGGCGGGGCATTACTTCTTGCCTTTGGACCTTCGACAGCCGCCGGGACGCTTGGAGGTCATGCTGACGTCTGCAGGACACCAGCCATGAGGGTTTGTTGCTTCGGCCCCAATGTCAGGGTACCTTCAAACCCCAAGGCAGCACGAAATCCCCAAACCCTAAACCCCTAAACCCCTAAACCCCTAAACCCAAAGCCCTCAACCCTCAACCCTCAACCCTCAACCCTCAACCCTCAACCCTCAACCCTCAACCCTCAACCCTCAACCCTCAACCCTCAACCCTAAACCCTAAACCCTAAACCCTAACCCGATGCCCCCAATGGAAGCCCTAAACCCCCAGGTGCACGCTTGCTGGTGGTTCTTGCGGCGTCCACGGGCGCAGTCCAGGTGCCAGTGGGCTGCCAGATGGTCAGTGCAGAGGAGGCACAGGGGGCCTCCTAGTACTGGATTTATTGAATGTATTGGGGGACGTTTGGGCATGTTGGTTTTTCCTAGGGGGGATCTGTTGCGGTTTTTTCTTGGGCTGCTCCCCCCTTTTGGAGGTGATGGCTCCCAGCGGAACGCATCCAAAACCGGAGGAGGAGTGTCCGGTGCCCGATCTGGCCCCCGAGGATCTTTGCTACGTGCAATTCACGTCGGGCAGCACTGGGAAGCCCAAAGGCGTGCTGTGCGAGCACCGGCAAGCTGCATGGTATGCGTTGTCCAAGGCTGCAGCCGAAGGCATCGACGAATCCTCATGCCTCATGCTCACGGCAGCGTTCACCTTCGATCCTTGCCAGGGAGACATCTTCTGCGCGCTGATCTCCGGCGCCATGCTGGCCCTATCGCCACGCGTTCGCCTGCTGCAGGACTTGTCGCAGATCCTCTGCCAGGCAGGGGCCACCCACGTGTGTGCAACTCCGGCGCTGTGGCGCCTGGTGGACTCGGAGCTTCGAGCGCTTCCGCTTCCACAGCTTCCGCAGCTTCCGCAGCTTCGGTGCCTCTCTTTGGGCGGGGAGAAGATGCCGCCCGCCATGATCCGGAGCTGGGCACCGAAGCTGCTGCTCCGCAACACCTACGGGGTGACCGAGGCCTTAGTCTAGCAGTCCTTCATAGGGATTATAGTGCCCTCCTAACAGTCCTTCCTATAGGGATTCTAGTACCCCCCCCCGTTGTAATCCCTGTTAAGGGCTGTTATAGTATAAAGGGGAACATCCCAAGAGGCCACCGTCTACCAGACAGCGATGCAGATGACCACTGACACCGAGCCGCAGACGGCCGGGTGGCCTTTGCCTGGAGTACAGGTGGGCATTGCTAAGTGGAAGGAGGAAGGGGACGGCCAAACATCGGAGGCACCCCAGACGCCGAGTAGCCAGGATCTTTGGGAGCTGGAGCCAGGAAACGAAGGCGAGATCTGCCTAAGCGGACCTGGCATCGCCAGGGGCTACCTGGGGCTGCCGAGTTTGACTGCGGAGCGTTTTGTGCGCTTTCCATGCAAGCCCGGCCGCTGCTATCGTACCGGGGACTGCGGGCGCTGGGTGGAGAGCGGAGCGCCGGAGCCTTACCTGGAAGTTCTCGGGCGCCGGGATACCCAGATCAAGCTGAACGGGGAGCGAATCGAGCTTGGGGAGGTGGAGAAACTGCTGGGTATGAGTCCGCTGGTGTTGCAGTGTGCCGCCATGCCCTGGGGAGATCAGGTCCTGGGTGGTCCAAACTTTCTGTTCCTGGTACTAGTGCAGCAAACTGTAATGAGCTGATCTTTAGCCGATTTAGCCATGTGGTTCTGGACTGCTACCCCGCCCCAAGCTCTTACCTAGACGATAAACCTGATAGTGCCCAACTGAAAGCTATACTCGTAACTTGGACATGCTGCTGCATTGATAGTAGCAGGGTTTGGTTCTCGTGCACCTTCCGCCAAATTCCCCGAACCCCTGAACTCCAGCAAAGGGCAACCTCTTGGCCTATGTGGTCTTGGCCGGCGGCGAGGTGCTGGATGGCTTGACCTACCTTGCGCTGACGGCCCACTGCGACAGCCACCTGCCCCGGATCATGCGACCACGGAGGCTGTCGGGGCGCACCTAGAGTAACCCGCTGCACCGGAAAGGGTCAATAAACCCAGGAATTTAGAACATCGATGATTTAAGGTTTATGGGCAACTCGCTTCAAAAGTTTAAACGGGCTGTAGACTTGAGGAATTGATGGTTAAGGGTTAATTCACTTTGCGATAAGTGTACTTGTTCTCATCGAAATTCTTCAGCGTTCGTAGTCGGCCGAACAAATCTGTGATTGTCGCTCTGACCCTGTTTCCATGTTCGATAGCATGTTGTAAGGAGTGTGCTTCGCATTGTAGCGTAGCACGGCACACTCTCTTCATTGTTGACGAGCTGAAACTAATCGGGTGTAGTGGTACTCCATTTTGTGGATGGTTGTTGCTGGTGAAACATAGTGACACACGAGAGGCTCATAGCCACAGACGCGCTGCCCATCACCGCCAACGGGAAGATAGACAGGACAGCTCTGATTCCGCCCCCGCTTGATGTGGAAATAGACAAGAAGGACCCGAGCATTGTGCAAGAGCCCTTGACCCCCCTCGAAGAAGCGGTTGCAGTGGCATGGACGTCGGAGCTTTCGCTGAAGTTTCAGTTGGGTCCCGATGCGGACTTCTACCTGCTTGGAGGAGGCAGCGTCCACGCAGTTCGTGTGACGCGCCTTCTGCGTGCAGTTCTGCATGGAGGAGGTGGTGGCAAGGCTAAGTGGGCTGAGGGGACCAGTGATTGGCGCAACCCTGCTGGAGATGCTTCCCTTTTCCTGCCGCCTGAGCGTGCTGGTGATGCCGAGTGCCATTTTGGCTTGTGTGATGGCGGTCCGTTCGCCCCGTGCGCTCTCCTCGAGCGGCCGGTGCTTCGGAACTATGCGGGCTTCTTGGCCAACGCGGGCGTGCGGCTTGGGCGGCTTGGCAACACGGATGGACCAGATTCCGCCTCGGATTCTGAGGTAGCCTTGGCATCTGGGAGCGACCTCCCCCGCGCCTTGGAAAGTGCCCTGCGCAGTGGCCGGGAGACGCTGGCGCACGCCTTGCTTCTGGCCCGGGCCTCGGCGACGGGCGGCCTTGCGAGGAGGCAGCGGGGCACCGCCCCGCTGCATTGGGCGGCGCAGCGGTGCAGTGGGGCCGTGGTGGCTTGGCTCCTCACATTCCGGGCCAATGTCACCCAGGCCACCGAGGCGGGAGCTGTTCCTGCGCAGGTGGCGGCAGCTGCGGGAAACGCCAGCGCCATGCGGGCCTTGCTTGACAAGGGAACTCCAGCCTGCGTGCGCGATGGTGGAAAGCAATCCCTGCTGCATTATGCCGCACGCTCCGGAAGCGCATCTGGGATGCAACTGGGGGTGTTCGTGTAGTGCAGAGGAAGCAGGGCAGCTGATTCGGATCCTGCAGCAGAAAAGGGAGGCCTTGGGTAGCTTCAAAGAGCTTCAAGCTGAGGTGGACGTGATCCACCTGGCCGTCCAGCATGGTGCTGAGCTGGATTGTCGCGACAAGCAGCTGCGGAAGCCAAGCTGCACGTCATTAATCACCGAAACTCCCCAGATCTCTCGAAGAACATGCTTGAGAAGCCGTGAGAACGCCTGAGATTCACCTAGCAACCTTATACCCTAAACTGCCCTAAACCCTAAACCCAACAAAGCCCGAAGCAAGAGAGCCCAAGGACGCCCCTCCACTGGGCGGCCCTCTCCGGCGACGCGGCGGTGGTGAAGGCGCTGCTGGAAGCGGCCTGCGACCCTCAGCCGCCGCTGGGGCTGAGGGATCTCGGGATTCGGGCTTAGGGTTCTTCAGGGTTTCTGTAGGGGGATGTTCAAGGGAGGGTTTTAGAGTGATGCTCAGACTCGGGGGGCGGGCGCCTTGCATCCCCGATCAGCTTCAAATTCAACCTGAAGTCTACATAGTCTAAAGCCCCCAATCCCCGAACCTTAGCCCCCTAAATCCTTCCCAGCCCGAGTTTTTTCGGAGTCTCAGGCCAAAAGTTTCCGCCTCACTGCACGAGCGGCGAACGCGACTTGCGCAGGACACGGGGGGATGCAGGGAAAGGTCCATATTGGGGATGCCTTGGGGTTCAGTGCTTTGGGGCGCCCAACAACAGGGGGACCAAATTGTTCACCCTTACAATAAGGAGTCCCAACGCGCACATCGCACAAGGCCAGAGCGCTCAAAAGCAAGTTTGCACGTCTCAGTTCGCAGAAGCCACGTTCGGCTCAGAACTGGGCACTAGACACCTGCCTTAATTGAAAAACCCTAATTCGTTGTCACTCCTCAAAACCAAAACCCAAATTATGAACTCTAATTATAAAGTAGGAGCCCTATTAGTAATCCCTGAAAAAAGCCCAAATTATGAGCCCTGAGCTTTTCCAGAAAACCAGGGAGCCCCCCTGAACCCTGCAGTCCCCGAAGGAGACACCGCTGGAGCTGGCAGTTTCCAGGTGCGCGGTTGCAACGCACTGAGTGTTCAGGCTTCAGGGTACGTCCGAGTCTGGGTTCAAAAAAGGGTTTAATTTCGGGTACAGAAAGAAGAGTGATACAGCTCGACGCTGCGCAGAAGAAGAAGAAAAGAGCTGCAGCTCTTCGTGCTGTTTTTCTGATCTGCGAGGCATCCAGCGCTCAGTGACCTGCACTCCTTGCTGCGCGATGCAGAGCAGAGGGGAAAATCACGAGCCTACTGCAAGCATGTGCAAGCTGTTCCCCCGATGGCCTTGCAGAGCGCGTCGTAGAAGTCGCCCGAGCCCAAGTGGGGGTTTACCCCAATATAGACCGCCGAATCGTAGGATTCCCTTATAATAAGGTACCCCAAATAAGGTACCCCTACTTTCGTACACCCCCCCAAGTGGCGCCCAGGCGACTCCTCCGCGTCTTCAAGGCCGACCACTTCGCCTCCACCGACGCGGTGGTGCTGGAGCCGGGGCCTCGAAGCTTTGAGCGAAGATCAGCTTACACTCCAGGTTCACAGGGTTTAGGGTTCATAGGGTTTAGAGATGTTTAGAGTTCAGGCTTTAGGGTTTAGGGTTTAGAGGCACATGGGTTGACGGCTCCTCCGATTCCTGTACCACGAAACAGGCAGGAAACCCCGCCCCCGCGCGCACGCGCGCGCACGCGCCCCCACCCTGGAAGGACCGATTCGCGCACTGGACGGACCAGATTCGCGCACCGAAACGAGGATTCACGCACCGTGGATCAAGCACTGAACCCCGCGGACTCGCGCACTAACTTTCGCCGCGCACTGGCCGTTGTAATCCTTAAAGCCACAGAACCCTAAAGCAACATCATGATATTGGTTCACAATAAAACGGGTGCAAAACCCCTAAGCCCGAAACCACAAACCCTTCAACCTAAGCATGGAACCCTACAAAGGAAACCCTGAAACCTAGAACCATTAAAAGGCCTTTACAGGGAAGGGCCCCACGTACCTTTCGTTCCGGGGGTGGGGGGGGAGGGATTCTGTTGGCGGAGTCCAAAACCTGATTTGGTGGACTATATATCGTTCTCTATGGTTACAAAAAACCCTAGGGGAGCCTTTGGCAACCTGTTGGTGTTTTCGATGTCTCCTCACATCTGTAATCGAAAGAACATGGAACTCCACTAGGACGGCCTATACTCTGCTATTCTCAGAGCCCTCACTTCGTACCAACTACGGCCATGGCGACACTGCTTCATGATCCAGTCCACGGCGTAGCGTTGCTTTCTCTCTCCGGGTCATGGGGATCGAGTTCGCTCCACTAAGACTAAGCCTGCTTCAGCTGAGAAAACTACCCAACCCAACCCAAAACCCCAAAATTTCCGAACCCTAAACCCTGAACCCTAAACCCTAAACCCAAACCCAACCTTGAACCCTGAACCCTACACCCCTAAACCTTAAAAACCACTGAGGCTCCTGGGCCAGCGCTGCCTTCGCGTGGCCGTGCTCCTGCCGCTGGAGACGAGTGCCCTCTCTGGGCGGTCCGTGAAGCTGGAGGACAGTGCTTTTTCTACGCCCGATACCGATGGGGGGCCACCGGGCCCATGCCCGAAGTCCTTTTTTACATAACAGCTCCTCCTCATCAACGCCCTAAGCACTGAAACCCCAAGCCCTAAACCTAGGACGGCCCGACTCTATCAGAAGCCTCATAAAGACAGCCCTTACAAAACCTCCTTATCAACCCTACATGGGCAGTTCGTAGTAGGGTTTAAGTACCCTAAGTAAGGAGATAGCCTGGGAACCAAGTAAAGTTGTGTTTTACCTCATGACATGTAACCTCACTTCTAACCCATCTAACCTCATCCCTGAAAACTACACAGGAGTCCTGGATGCTTCAGGCAGAGCAACTACCGCTCGAGGCGGTCCGGAGCCTGGGCCAGGGCTCAGGATTGGTTTAGGGTTTAGGGTTTAGGGTTTCGGATTTGGGGCTTAGAGTTTAGGGTTTGGGGTTTAGGGTTTAGGGTTTGGGATGTTTAGGCTTCTTGGGAGATTTGGGGCTAGGGCTATGCAGAAGGGCCGCCCTCACTGGCGCTGCGCACTTAGGACGTTCTACTCCTCAGCCCTCCCCTCCCAATCACGCGGGGCATGACCCTAAACCAAAAAAAACCCTAAACCCTAAACCCTAAACCCTAAACCCTAAACCCTAAACCCTAAACCCTAAACCCTAAACCCTAAACCCTAAACCCTAAACCCTAAACCCTAAACCCCAGCCTGAGCCTTCCCCAGGTGCTGCAGATCTTCGAGGCCTGCGTCGACCCCCAGAGCAGCAAAGAGGCCTTCAGCTCCGCCGCGGCCAGCGAGGCTCGCGGGCGCCAAAAACCTACTTACTTAGGGTTTAGGGTTTAGGGTTTAGGGTTTAGGGTTTAGGGTTTAGGGTTTAGGGTTTAGGGTTTAGGGTTTAGGGTTAAGGAACTAGGGGTTCAGGGGCTCAGGACTTAGGGGTTTCGGGCACAGTTTAGTGTTTTAGGGGTTTAGGGTACCTTGGTACCTAAAGCACCAAGAAACAATCGGTTTCGGAGATGTTTGGGACAACTGGCTTGGGGTCCGAAGCTTGGAGAGTTGTTTGCGGCGATGGGGTGGATTTCATTCCGATAGCCAGCCTATGGCCAGTTACGATGCATTCGCACCCCTTCTGTCAAGGTCCAACATCGCAGCACTGAGCTTGCCCTACAAACTGATACACATGTAATCGCCATAGCAGCCCTGATAGCCCTCATAACCCTATTGCCCCTAATACTACCCAACCGCCCTAAACCCTAAATCCTTAGCCCTAAATCCTAAACCCTAAACCCTAAACCCTAAACCTGGCTCCAAGCCCCGAGCAGGCCGATGATGGAGCGGCAAAGGCGGCGGCCCTCCGCGTGGGCCCGGCACTCAGAGAGGGGCACGCTGGGTACGCAGAATAGGTTCGTCTAAGTTACCAGGATCTTGGGAACCCGATTCTTACATGGTTCAGGGTTTAGGGTTTAGGGTTAGGGGGCTCACCTCCCCACGATTTGGGAGTCCCAGCACAGCTTGTCCTGATAGTTTGGACCAAGATCTAGGTTCCTTTTGTCCTTCCAGATCAGGAAACAAAGAAAACACAGAACCCTAACCCTAAACCCTAAACCCTCAACGTCCGCTCGAAAACCTCTGTCAGGCCACGAGCTTCTGGCATGGCAGCAGCAAGGGCTGCAGCCCTTGGCCGCAAGCACAGATAGGGCTTTAGCGTTTAGGGTTTAGGGTGTCGGGTTTAGGGTTTAGGATTTAGGGTTTAGGGTTTAGGGTTTGGGGCCCGAAACCTTACAAGATTTGCAGGTTTAAGGGTTTAGGGTTTAGTCGGCTTAGGGTTTGAGGTTTCAGGTCAACCCTGCACATATACAGGGCAGAACCCCCCAAAACGGTAGTTAATTAATTGGAAGACCCTGGCAACTACGCCACATCTAGGGTTCGGGGATCCGTCATCTAAAAGCTTTCAACCCTAAACCCTGGCTTCCGTACAGTGTTACTAAACACTTGATAGTGGCGACAGCAGTGAGGATCAGTAGTAATAGTCGTAAGAGTCACCAATCGTCGCAATCGTCGTATTAGCTCGTACTCGTAGAAATCGTAGTTGTTGTAGTATGAGTAGCAATCGTAGCCAGAGTAGCAATTGTAGCAGTAGCCATAGCTGTACCTTTCACGAACCAGCTATGTATTCAGTTCGCAAGAATGGACAATGATTCTAAACTTGGGATGATGGATCCCAAGCCCTTTGCGCTTCGTCTGCCCCATCCTACAATAACCCCCTGGTAGGACTACAGGAACCCTAAAATTTTATCCCCGAAGAACGCGATATCCGGCTTCCTTTGTATGATGCGCTGCTCATTCTTTCGAAGCCGAGACCTGGCTCAATTTTTTCGCCTTGGGATTTAGGGTCTAAGGGCGAGCGGCACTCGCAGTCACTACGGCTGTGCGCCAGAAGTGAGTGTTTCAAGGAAGTAACACCTCGGAGTTGCTGCCAGCGTCCTTCACAAGCTGAGTGGCCGATGTCCAATGGCTATCCGAAGGAAGGCTTCAATTTGGTTGGATCCTGGGACGACTGGAAGAGCCTCCCGGCCAGTGTGGGACTGTTTGGGACCTGAGTTGCAAGGGCCTTGATTGGACATACATGGCCAGTTCGGGCCCGATTGTGGCCCACAAAAAAAGTTCGGAACACCAACAACGCTAAATCTGTCCAACCCAGAAGTCTGGACCCTGAAACAATCGTAAAGTTCCCAACCCCAAACCAAAAAACCTAGCCGCCAAACCCCAAATCCGTGGGGACCCAGTGAACTCGGAAAGGGTTTCCGGTCAATCTGCTCTCAGCAGGGTACATGTAGTCCGTAGCCCAAGGACGCCTGAACCCCTAAGCCCCAAATGTCCCGAACCCAATCCTAAAAATTTGAAGAAACCGGAAACCCCAAACTCCAAACCCTAACCCTAAACCCTACAGTCCCGAACTCTATAAACCCGCTGTAGTCCCTACACCCTAAAACCCTATAGCCCGGAAGACCCAAGCAGACCTTTCAGCCCAGGCTTTGTCCCGCTGAGCCGCAGCGGCCAAAACCAGGCCTTCGTGGCCCGCGTCCCCGTGCGGCGTCCGCCAGGTCTTGAGGAGCCTTCGGGGACTAAATGAGCCCTAAAACCTGGCGTTTAGGGTTTCGGGTTTAGGGTTTAGGGGCTTAGGGTTTAGGGTTTGGGGGTCAGATGCCCTTTACTACTATGTTTCCTATGCCGTATACTACTATGTTTCCCGTATAAGGTGTAAACCCTTTCAGGGTTCATATGGTTTTCAAGGACTGTCAGCTTTGGGTTTAGGGTTTAGGGGCTCAGGCTCTCAGGGCCTTGAGGGCTGTTGATCTTGAGGGCGTAGGACCTCCAGCGATGTAGGACGTTAGGTTTCGGGGTTCTGAGGGTTTGAAAAGAACAAAGTTCAGATGCTTTCATGGGTGCAAGACTCCGTCGGTTTTTTTTTTGTCGCCCCCAGCCACGAGGAGTTCCAGATCCTGCAGGGCCAGGATTGGACAGCCCGCTACTATCCCACCGCCCGCGGGGAGGGCGTGGAAGGCCCCGGGAATGTGCACGGACGCAACTTCCGGGTCACCGCGCTGCCCGCGAACTGCATGCAGCTGGAGATCTTGTGGGATCTGCTGGGGCGCCAGGTCAAGTGGAAGTTCCTGAATGCCGCAGAGCAGGAGATACAAACAGAGCCGGCCGAGAAGAAAGCTGCGGCAAAGAAGGGAGCCAAAGCACGCTCCGCACCGCGGCGGGCCTCAAACAGAGGCCCCTTCTTCCTGGTTGGATCCTGGGACAACTGGAAAGGCCGGAAGCATTCCGGAAGCATCCCCGCCTACCCTACCGAAATAGCTCTATCTCACAGTTGGTTCCCACTACGTCCCTGATTCTTACGGGGTGGCAATGTTAAGGTTAGGGAACTGTTAAGGCTTCCCCAAGCTTTTGTGCAGGTTTCGCGGAGTTCCTGCCATATGGCGATGCTTTCCGAACGAAGGTCAAGCTGGGGGGCATGAACCAGGCGGGAAAGTTCTCAAAATCATGACGCCTTCTTGAAATACCGGCCGCCGTAATATGTGTTTCAGAGAGGTACACCCCCCCCCCCTCCCCATGCCCCATGCAAAAAGAGACCCTTTGGTGGACTACGTGAACCCTGAATGGGGTCATGGTCCATATTCTTTATCGTTTTGTTTTGCAAAATGGGTTGTTGCGATGGCGATCCCAAATCCCTGGCCGCCATTCACTTTTAGACCCCAAAGGGTTTGCAGCCCCATCTGCTTCAAAAGGGATTATCGTACTTCGATCCCAAGTCAAGGCTGCCGGCTTAGCGTCTTGTTCCTGCCGGAAGTTTCTCCTGCAACGTCATTTATAGAATCATAGAACTTGCTTTACAAGTCAATTGGGGTTACGGTTTGCCTTTCACGTTCAATCATGGGCCTTTCGGAACCCTGAGCTAGGAGGGGTATACAAAGATAGACTCCCCGGAAAAAAGGTCCAAGCCCTAAATCCGCAACCTTGACATGGGGAGTTCTGATGGGGTAGCCTCCATACGCGGTTCCGTGTTTTAATCCCCAGAGTGGCTAAACCCTAAACCCTGAAACCTCAACCCTCAACCCTAAACCCCACTTTAAACCCGAAGCCCTAAACCTTAAACCCTAAACCCGAAACCCTAAATCCTAAACCCTGAACCTTACTTCAGAGATCCTCGAATCTTTCCCCCAAGGTGGAGTTCCAGGTCGTGGTGGCTCGGGACTGGAACCGGCGCTTCCATCCGACCTCATCAGGCACGGGCTTCAGGGTTTAGGGGTTTAGGGTTTGGGGTTTAGGGTTCAGGGTTTAGGGTTTAGGGGGTTTAGGGTTTAAGGGTTCGGCGTAGGGTTTAGGGTCTAGGGTTCAGGGTGCAGGCTTTAGGGTTCAGGGTTTATTGGGGTTTAGGGCCCCACCAGAAGCCACACAAAGCCCCCACAATCCTGAACGCACTCCCCCCGAAAGTCCTGCCCGCTAAGATCCTGGCAAGCAAAACAACCTCCACGCAATAGTTCACCAACAACCTCGAAAATCCTACCAACAACCCTTCAAGAGTCCCCCTAAACCCTAAACCCCAAACCCCAAACCCCAAACCCCAAACCCTAAACAGGTGAGGGCTTGGCTGGACCTGATCAGGGCCACGGGCTGAACTGGCGCGCGGCCGTGGCCGGCAAGAAGCTGGGGTGGCACGATTCAAGGGTTACTCTTGAACCCCCAAAGCCGAAACGGTTTAGGGTTTAGGGTTTAGGGTTTAGGGTTTAGGGTTTAGGGTTTAGGGTTTAGGGTTTAGGGTTAAGGCTACCATTCTCTTCAAGGAAGTTGTGCAGAAATTCAGAAGAGCTAAGTTGCTTCAGAAAACCATAGCAAGGAAGCTGCCATAATAGTTAAGGAGCCTAAGTTAAGTTACCATTACAGTGAAGGGAATATGGGTAACATGGTTTACTCTGCTCACTTTTGGGTTTACATCCATAATATTTCTTGAGTTAAGTTGCCATCACAAGTAGAAAGGGAGCCATATGATTTGGAATGGGTCCATTCAGGGGTTTGTAGGGTTTAGGGTTAAGAACCATACCGGTTAGCAAATTAAGTTACCCCAATGAAGGCAAGCATGTTTGATTTGACATCCAGAAAGTTGAGCTATGATTTTTGTAGTCCATATCCAGCAGGTTTCGTTGACGTGAGGAAACGACTGTCTTGCTTGTCCGCAGTATCCATAGTCCTCAACAGACCAGGAAGTGGCTGGAAGTTACCTGGTGCCCCGACCGCGCCCCCTATGTGGAGTGGATGCTTGGATTCTGAAAACCCTAAGCCTTCAACTCTAAACCTTTCAGTTTCAGGGTGTATTGACGTTTTATTAGGAATTTGTAGTCTGGGGCCTTGAAGCTGAAGGTCGTTTGGTTTGGGGTCTAAGGCCAAGGTAGTAGGGTTTAGGATTTTGGCTTTCGGCTTTGGGGGAGCCCTAAGCCCCGAACCTGAAGCCCTTGCCCCTACCATCCCACAAGACCATCGAACCGCAAGCAACCACAAGACGAAAACATGTCGAAAACACCGAGGCCGCAAATAAAGGCGCTAGCGCCGAAGCGCGCAAACTCTAAAGGCAAAACGAGCAAACCCACTCATTCCTAATCCAACCCCCGACCCTTCCTCCCCCCTCAAGTTTTAAACCACTTAAACCCAAAACCCCTAAATTGAACCCCTAAACCCCGCCTAAGCCCCTAAACCCCAACACCTTAAGCTCGCCCTAAACCCTAAACCCTAAACCCTAAACCCTAAACCCTAAACCCTAAACCCTAAACCCTAAACCCTAAACCCTAAACCCTAAACCCTAAACCCTAAACCCTAAACCCTAAACTGCAAAGGAGCAGCCCGGACCCCGCAGAAGCGCACGCGGCGGCGGCGGAGGACTTTGCATCCATGCTCCGAGACCTGGCCCAGGCGCTTCCGTGGCCTTAGGGTTTAGGGTTTAGGGTTTAGGGTTTAGGGTTTAGGGTTTAGGGTTTAGGGTTTAGGGTTTAGGGTTTAGGGTTTAGGGTTTAGGGTTTAGGGTTTAGGGTTTTGGATTTAGGGTTTAGGGGCTTAGTTAGGACTTGCGGTCTAGGGTTGAGGGTTTAGGGTTTGGTATGTTTAGGGTTGCGGGTTTAGGG